TGATGTAGTAGACTTTGTCATTTGCTTGCTCAGAGACTTGGGATGGGAAACAGTATTCTTATTGGATATCATAGGACCCCCAAAATAACCAATGAGAACCAGCACTGTTCGGTAAAAAAATTCCAGCTTTATATAGCTGTAAAAAAATTGATTTTTGTTTATGATTAATTCCTATCATAGGATGGAAATACAATAGTAGTAATTTTGATTAAATAGCATGGATCAATTGCAAACAATTTAAATTAGGAGCATAGAGAAGTAGGCACTGCAACGTCCAAGTTGGGGATCTCATGGTGTGGAAATTTGAATCAGCTTCAACCTTTTCTCCCCTAAATTGACCGGCAAAGTCCTGGTCACTAAGAATAAAGGGAATGGTCACCATCTGAAAATCTAAGCTCTTGACTGTTAAACAAATTCTCCTTGTCAGCACCTCAGGAAATGCATAGAGAACAATAAGGAGAGTATGCTTACTATGCTTACAGTATTTGTAAAAGGTTTAACAATTTCTTTTTTGTTGTTTATAGGAATGTTAGGTATTCTTTGGTTCATTATTTGGATGATCTTTGTTCATGACAAACCAGCAAATCACCCCAGAATATCTGAGATGGAGAGAGATTACATCATATCAAGTATAAGTTATGGACAGGACAACAAGAAAAGAGTATGGCAAATAAATGTTGTTTCACTTTATTATCAAAGTGTATGCTTTGTATTCCAGACTTCAGACTTTAACTAGTTTGTTTTTGTATGTGTACCCATAGCAGAAATATATGTGAGTCTGAATTTTTCCATGGGACATATGGTGGCTTACAATTAGTGGTTAGTGAGCTGGACTCCAAGTTGAGAGGTCTGGGTCTGAGACCTGGCCTGGTCAATGTGTTGTGTTCTTTGGAAAAAGTTTTTTCTCTCAGAGTAACTCTCACCACCCAGGAAAATAAATGGGTACTGGCAAATTTTCAGGAAAGCACAATGAAATGCAGGGGGCTAACCTTGCGATGGATTGGCATCCCATCCAGGGGGGAACAGTAATAATACTCCTAGTCACCTCAAGAAATCAGGAAAAGCTATGGGGTCATTTGGTTTGAGTACAGACTTTAAATTTTTTCTTTACCTGAATTTGAGAAATTACACTCACACATTTCAGGAGATACAATTTAGCTGGCCACCTATTGTGGCACTGTGTCCCTCACTGATTTTTAAATTATGTCTATTCTTTTCTTTACAGAATTATGGCACCCCTTGGCGTCATATATGGACATCACCAGCTGTTTGGGCCATCATTGTGGCACACTTTTGTAACAATTGGGGTTTTTATACTTTTCTTACCTGCTTGCCCTCTTACTTTAAAGAAGTTCTTAATTTTTCAATTTCTAAGGTAAGTCTTTCATACCTGACCACATTCTTATGTCAAAGCTTAAATATCAATTACAATTAAACAAAATGGAAATTTTGCATTAGTCATAATTAAATGGACAAATATGTTGTCATTCAGAGAGAATTCCATTTTACTTTATATGTACTTGAATATGCAGCTGTAATACACAGTGAATACTGCAGGTAAATCAGATTTACTTGTGTAAAGAAAATGATACTTTTATTGCAGAAGGAAATAATTATCCATTTCACCCTGATGTAAATACCATCACTTTTGTTATTTGCTTCAACTTACAAAATATTTACAGAAAATGTTTGGCTGATTGGCATGAACATGCACATGTTAAAACTTCACAGCCAAGTTCATTTTTCTGATAATGTCAGGCCACATTGAATCTCCTAGTCTGTATATGGGTGATGATTGGTCAAATTAGTGGGCAGTATTTCACTGTGTGGCCTGATGGTATCTAGTCAACTCGCCAACGCCAACTCGCCAATGTATAAAATCGAGTAGAGACGTCGGTGAGTTGGTCCTCAATCCAATACAACTTATTAGAAGTTAAACATACAGAAAAGTAAACAATATTTAGTAAAAAAACACTGGTGAACATTGGTGAACATCACCAATGACTATTAGCAGCTTAAGACGCAAACAAGTTATAACTCGTTCGCATCTGATGCTTTTATAGTCATTGCTGATGTTTATCTTGTTTTATTTGCCTTGAGATCTTGACTAGAAAGCCAAGTTTTCTTTAAAAAATCTGAACAATTGACATGATGACTCTTTACGGTGTTGTTATCACACATAACTTGTTCGCATCTGAAGCTGTTATAGTCATTGGTGATGTTTACCTTCTTTGTTCACCATGAGGTTCTTATAAACTTTGTTGGAAGAAAAATTTTTTCTTTTACTAAAGATCTTTTACTTTTCTATATGTTTAACTTCTAATAAGTTGTACTGGATTGAAGACCAACTCGCCGACGTTTCTACTCGATTTTATACGTCGAAGTTGGCATTAGCGAGTTGAACTGTCGGCGAGTTGACCGTAATTCGGCCTGATGACTTCACAATTCTGTGTGAATTGAAATCTCACCCTTCTATCAGTTCAACCCAGAACTTTATTAAATATCTCACTGACCTAATGTCTTTTCAATCATTACTGAAAGTTATGGAACCTTGTTGCTGAACATGGTCCATAACTTACAGCAGAGACCTCAAACTGGGTTTAATGGAAGTTTCTTATTTTACAGTACTAGAGTTGTGTATTGTTTTACCCTCTTCGTTTACATCATCATGGCTTAGAAGTACCAAATATTGACATTCCTATGCTAGCAGTATGCAGGAAGTTTGTCACTAGTGACCTAGTTAAACAGCCTAGCCTGCTACAAGTCTCCTGTAGCTCAGTGGTAGAGCATCTGAAGTACTAATCAGAACTTCATAATTCAAGTCATATTGGTAGCACTCAGGTGTCTTATTTCCCTGCATGTCTCTGTCAGAGGATACCATTATCTGTCACTCACTCTACCTTACTAGTACACATGCACCTTATGCAATAATATTTAATTATCAAGGGTTCTTTTCACCAGTTATTACTTCTTTGTTTTTGAAAGGACTAAAAATTCTTCTTTCGATTATTTTTTATGCATCAATGATTTAACAACTTCTTGTTATTTCTGTTACAGAATGGTTTTGTTTCTGCCATTCCCTTTTTATTAGCTTTTTTTGTTTCGGTTGGTGGGGGACAAGTGGCAGATTGGTTGCGTTATAACAAAATATTAACAACTGGAGAGGTTCGCAAAGTATTTGGTACTGGAGGTGTGTACTTGTCATCCTGTGTGATGCATCCTTCATTAAAACTTTATTATTGTGAAGTTATGATAAAATTTGTTCCATTTTTCCATTGGCATTTAGGGTCATTTACTACGTTAGTAATGCTTTAGCTGAAATTGTCTATGTTGTGGAACCAAGGGAACACACTCTCATAAAGACAAAGGGTGAAATCCATAAAAAAACCATTTGGAATTGTTATGCACAGCATCTTCCTCTTCCCTCTTCCATACAACTGCATGTACATGAACTCAAAGTTTTACTTTCTTTTCGAAAAATTACAAGCTTATGTACATGTACAGTACCTTGGATCTTTGTTTGTGATCAGTGTGGACAGTATTTTGCCTTGTGTTTGTACATAATGATTTTTCCATATAATGGTTTTTGTTTTCAATACACAACATAGGTAAAACCATAAGTACTGATAAGAGCTCCATGATATGAATGACCCTTTTAATTATAACTATGTATTATTTTCAAGGTTTTCTCATTCCTACATGTCTTATGGTGTCAACAAGTTATGTTGGTTGTGATGACACAACTCTAGCTGTTGTTTTGTTCTCACTTGCTCTTGGAATGTCAGCACTTAATACATCTAGCTATAATGTCAATCA